GCTGATGACATGATGGAACACTTTATTAAACTAACAGAGCGGCTGAAGTTAAACAACATGATTCAAGTTAGTATGGATGGACCTAATGTCAATTGGTCATTTTATGAGAAACTGTCGGCTGAATTGAAAACTGATGATTCTGCGCCATCCCTGATCAATATTGGAAGTTGTGGATTGCATATCGTACATGGAGCATTTAAAGGTGCATGCTTCTGAAAGCGATGCACACTCTCTTTAAAGATACACCTGCAAGAAGAGAAGACTATGAAAAGATAAATGGTTGCAGTCTTTATGCTTTGAGGCACTGCGCAACTACCTTTGATGAAGAACTATGTAACGACAGTGTTGAAGCATCCAAGGAGTATACTGTGCCTAAGACAATGTCCTTCAACAAAGTAAAAGAAGCCGTTGAAGACCCAATGACGTTGGTGAAACTTCAATTTTTCGTGTCATTTGCTGAAGAATTTCATGGGTTTCTTACCAAATTCCAAACTGATGCTCCCATGATACCTTTCTTGAGTACTGATCTGGAGAACCTCCTATGCAACCTCATGGCAAGATGCATTAAAGAAGACGTTTTAATGAAAGCAGACACAGCACCACTGCTATTGAAACTCAACATGACAGATAAGAACATTTTGTTACGTCCAAAATTAGTTCATGTAGGATTCTCTGCTACCTACAAATTGAAGGAATTCATTGCAACAAAGGTGACATCTGAAAGACTAAAACTCCAGTTCCGAATGGACTGTCGGGACATGTTGGTATATTCAGTGAGAAAACTCCTTGAAAAGTGTCCCCTCAAATATATTTATTGACAAGAAACTCAGTTTGCATGGCACCTCAGAAAATGGCGACAGTTCCAACTGACTGCAAAACCCGTTTCAGTCGTGTACTCTCTACACTGCTGAACAGCAGATGGGTTGAGGAACATATTTGCGATGGGCTCTTGAAGGAGTATGATTCATTTTTGGTACATGTTGTTGCCCCAAACAAGCATAAATTTAAGGACTTTGATACAAGAAACGTCCGGTTGGATACATTCTACTATGAATACATGGCAGAGAACTGCTCGTACACTGGTCTCTGGAAAGTTTTTAAGCTACTCCTAATCCTGTCACTGAGAAGTCCATTACGTCACAGAGAGTTGTTTACGATTACATACAATCATGCGGTGGGCTGTTGGAAGTACCAATGTCAAAAGAAATCATCTTAGCTGCTCAAAGTGGTAGGATGCTTATAACTGAAGTGTTGATGAAAACATGTTTGGTTTGAATTTAAAAAAGTATTTAAATAACACTCCCATATTAGGAAAATGGTTCCACAATGGTTGGTAAGAAAATTCTGCTGATAACCGGATTTGAGACTCTATAGTGTGAACAAGATTTTCAATTAGTCTTGATATTAATTGGTCAAAAATGACAGCAAAACCGACTGCACCACTGGATTCGCCCAAGACAACTGTTCAATACAAAGCTGGTGGGGATCAGGGGCCACCAGGGTTACCAGTGTGGTCCAGCAAAGGTTATACATTTATATAATATAATGTGAAATATTATTTCAGTATAATTTTATTGATCTTGGAGGTACATTTGTCCCTCCCATTTTATCATTTTTTGAAAACAATTTTAAGCAATTTTTTTTTTGAAATGTCAAATATATTTATTGTTGCCAATATAAATTAATTAGTCAGTTAATTAAACGATGCTAGACTCATATAACTAGGCCTGATTGTGAGTAGACCTATGTGACAATTACTACAACTGAGTCAAAAGTAAACTTATCATAGTATTAACAAGTCGTATAGAAAATTAGTTTGCCATGAGAAAGTATATATTTTATTAACAATTTTGATGTTCTTGGACACAACTAAAGCTGAACTACTGTCGATTTGATCTGTTAATTAAACTGGTGTATTATAAGCAATGTCTTCGGATGCCTTTTTGAATTTTGAAAAGTGGACTGAAAAATTAAACACATTTATATGAACACTATATTTGTAATACCATGAAAACAGAATTTATTCAAGTTCAGGTAATATGCTCTCTCTCAGTAATACCATTCACTAAAATGAAAACAATGTTGTAAATTAAATTTAAATGTAGTAGCCATGTTTTGTAAAGTAAACTGCATCCATCAAATTTAGGCAAAATATTTCTGTCATATGAACATGCATCTATTACATCAGACACTATTAGCAGTTTTGATATAAAAGTTACCTTAAAACAAAAAATAGTTAAATTAAAAAATATATCAGATTTAAAAAAATTGTTAGTAAAGCAATTCATTAATTGAAATTAATCCTAAAGTAATTATTAAAATTAATATTACATTTTAGTTTAGAAATTGATGAAAATTTAATTTGAATAAGTGATCACACTGTTTCCTTCATATAAATAATCAAAAGATTTTAAAAATTGCCTTCAGTTCCTCTCATGCACTTTGCTTCTTCAAGACAATACTAACATCTGACATGGCATCACACCAAAAATATGTTGTTTTAATGGCAATGGTAATCTTGTAAGTATATATCTTTAAAAAAAATTGTTAGTAAAGCAATTCATTAAAGATATATACTTACAAGATTACCATTGCCATTACAACAACATATTTTTGGTGTGATGCCATGTCAGATGTTAGTATTGTCTTGAAGAAGCAAAGTGCATGAGAGGAACTGAAGGCAATTTTTAAAATCTTTTGATTATTTATATGAAGGAAACAGTGTGATCACTTATTCAAATTAAATTTTCATCAATTTCTAAACTAAAATGTAATATTAATTTCAATAATTACTTTAGGATTAATTTCGGTCATGCCCATTTTGATATATTACATTATTATGTAAATATACACAATTATATTAATTTGGTATCAAGCTAAAGCTTAGGGTCAAACTAACAATTATAGAAGAGGTGCAAACAAATTTGAACAATTTGATGAAGTCATTTAGGCCGCACCAGTTTTTAAAATATTACATACTAGTGTAAATATATAAAAATTATATAAATATATCAAGCTTTAGTTTGATACCAAACTAACAATTATAAAAGCGATGCCAAACAATATGAACAATTTAATGATGTTAGTTAGGCCAAGTTTAATATCAAATTAAAACTTATAAACTAAACAAATTAGAAAGGTTTTCCACAACTACTGGTACTTAATAATTTTTTTAAATCTCACATATGTCGTGTGGTATTGAACTAAAGCAAAGGATATGTACTATCTATACTACACATTTTTGTTTAACATGTAGTACCTAGTACACCAAATATATTTTGTTTACATTGGTTTTTAAAATTAAATTGTTCATGATATAATACGAAAATTTGTGTTTCGATGACATACCCTGTGATTGTAAATACAATTGGTAATCTATGAATACTACATGAAGAAAACAAAATGTTTTATATGTGCCTATAGTAAATTCAATATCAAACTTATATATGAGCAAATTTTGTTATTTTAACAGAGTTAAATACGCAATATAGGCCTATAAAAAGGTGTGGCCTAAATTATGTCACAAAATTATTAAAATTTGAGGAGACCTCTTCTGAAATTTTTAGCTATATTAGAAGCTTTAGCTTAATACCAAACATTTTGTTTTATCATTCTCACATATTTAACCTAGGCCTATAAAAAGGTACAGCCCAAATGACGTTATTAATTAATCAGATTTGTTGTTATTCTAAAACTGTTAGTTAATTTATAATCTTTAGTATGATACCTAACATGACTTAATTTACCCATTTATTATTTTTTACCAAATTACATTTTATAAGCCTTATAAAATGGGCGTGGCCTAAATCATGTCATAAATTGTTTGAATTTTGGCTCCCCTTTTTGTATTAGATTCTAAGCTTTTTTTTATACCAAAATTGATATATTTCTAAGAACGTCCTATTATTTTCATATAATTATATAATAATAAAGCCTGGCCTAAAAAGAAGGCATGGCATAAATGACATTAAATTGTTCCGATTTGTTGGCACTCCTTCTGGAATTGTTAGTTAGGCCCAAGCTTTAGTTTGATACCAAATTTGGAATTTTTGTATAATTTCTATATTTTTGAAAAATTATTTGAACTAAATGTCATCATTAAATTGTTCAGATTTTTGGGCTCCCCTTATAGTATTGTTAGTTACATCATAATGAAGGTTTATGCCAATTTTTTTTTCACAAAGTATACAATCTGCCTAAAAATTGACCTAAGGATCCCTCCACCATTTTTGTAAATATCATAGCAATGCAGAGGTCCAAGTGAATCCTACATCTACATTCATCATTGGCCTATGTCAATCATGAGAATTAAATCAGAGAATGACAAGTTTCACCGTGGCTGTTAAAAATTGAGTAATTGAGTTTCTTGTTATAAGGTAATTACTTGGAGCATACAGTAGGTAGGTTGAATTGTGTGACTTCCAGACTAGCTGCAATTTTTCTCAGATAATAATGATGTTTTAATTGTGTTCATTTAATCCATTAAATACGTATTTGTACCCCAAAATAGGGCAAAAAAAAAAAATCATAGAAATTAAATTTACTTGCGGATGCATGTAGCATGCCATTAATCAATTTGCGCATAGAAACTGCTGTACTTAAAAATTATTTTTCCTCTAATTTCCCAACAAATAGGCCCAGTGCTTTAAAATCTGGTAAATCTTGCATTGGCTGACAGCCAATTAGTAACTGTTTGCTTTATCCAGTGTAAAAGTCATGATTATAATTTTTAAATAAACTATTAAATTCTTATAAACGAACCATTCCACCACATATGTACAACAGTTAATGTCAGACATTATGATAGTTCAGTTAATATGCACTCTCAAGAAATTATATAAAAGTATTGCTTCACTTGAATTTGTAGGTTTCCCAAAATGTGCTTCTTCCATAAGTATACAACATAGCTCAAATACAGTTCTATCACAAGGATATGGACCCTTTGGGACACATTCCTCTTGGCAATATTGGATTTCAACATTGCTAACCCAGCATAGTTCATGATGAGCACCATAGAGTGTGGGAGATTATACATAATTGTTGGTCTTCCACATGGAGCTACCTGGTTCCGGCTAGGGCGGATGTGATGAGTGTTCCATAAGTGAACAACTTCATGTAAGCCATGCTGAAACAAGAAAGTATTAAAACCATTAATTTTTCTACTTATTGCAAAAGATTTTCAATGTGCAGTTAGTCTATAGGCAAAATGTGTTTTTAAAATAAGTTACATGTTAATTGTCATCATTTATTGACACAGAAATCACCTTTCTGGTTTTTATGCTTCAACAGCAGGTCAGTTTCTCCAATCCAGCAACCTTTTGTTCTTTTACCCCTTAACTAATACCCATTTCACACTGATGCTATTTTGCAAATATTAACAACTTGTAACAAGTTGTAACCAGGTTTGGATGACTGTGAAAGCAAAATCCTTGTAAACTTTCCGATATTTCACAGGGGTCCCCTGAGTTATCTCGGAACAAAAACAGACCATCGCGAGGCCTGTTTTTTTCCCGAAATCTTCCGAGTTGTTGCTGCGCATGCGTCATGTCCATATTTTGACATGCGGGCTGTTTTTTTTTTTTTTGTTTAGTTCGAACGAATGGCGGCAGCGATGGAAAACGTATCAGCATTACTACCATTTGTTAATAGGCCTAGACCTAAAATCAAAAGAAATCTCGCTAAATTTCACATGTCTGATGTAGAAACAATCACGAGGCTTCGTAAAATACGCCGACAGCGAATCATTATGATGCTCGTCGCAATGATTGCCTCTGAGTCTAACAATGGTGAGCTACCGGCCGGCGGCCCGACTGCGTCTAGCTAGCCTAGACCTATCTTTCTCGCCAGCTCGACTACAGCAAGCGAGCTAGGAGTTGAATTCGTTTTACTCTCCGAAGGCTAAGGACCATGGAACATTTATAATCTTGTTAATTCGGTACCAGGCCTAGTTTAGTAGTTGATATGTAATTCAGACAACCTACAACTAGCCTAGGCCTACTAGTACTACCCTAGGCCTCTATGCCTAGTCATAATATTCTTCCGAGTTTTCCCCGAGATTTCTCATGGTTTGAAAGTGCATGTGTGAAACGAACCAAAAATCTCGGAATATCAAACTTGTTACAACTTGTTAATAGTTGTTAAAAGTTGTAATATTTTTTGCTAGTGTGAAATGGGTATTTGGTAGGCACCAAACATATTATGGTATTACTGAAACTCTTTATTGGTTAATTGCCAACTGTGAAAGATGATTTCCTTTTTATGATCACTAATATTCTGCATTTCAGTGTCATTTTAAAATTTTGTTAAAATGTAACTACAAATAAAACTTACTTGAATTAAATCCATGAAACAAAACTGAACTAGGCTTTTGTCCAGAAATTCACCAGTATATCTGTCACTGTCTTTCAGTGATTGGAAAAATTCATCCAAAATTGCGAAAAATGTTTTCGCAAAAATGACCACCAAGATTCAATTCGTTGATTGTGGTTGCTAGACCCATATATAAAACTTCCAGTTGCATATGTTCAATATGTCCATTTTCTGTTCCTCTATCAGCTCTAAATTCGCTTTGGACAGCCTTTTCGTTTTCCTTAACAGCATTTACATAATAGCTCGATATTACTGCAGGGTCACTATTTGTTGAATGTGCCTCAAGCCAAACATTATGTCTTGAATATCCATCTATTGCACCATTTATACATATTCCAAACGGTTTTAGCTTATCGTATGAATCAACGTGCCATATGAAATCGGGTTCAGGGTTTTGATACATTATACGTTTGATTCGATTCCTTTTCCTGATCTCAATCCTATCAGGGTCTATAATGTGAATTAAAAGTCTTGCAGTATTCTGGCTAACTACAAACCCTTTTTGAATACATTTTAAATGGAGAAACTTATAACCATATTATTGTCCAGCTTCCTCAAATTCATTCATCAAGAACATGGCAACTTCTAGTATTTTATTTATTTATTCTTTCTTTATTCTGAAATACACTTTCAATACAATGTACTGGTTTCCAAAGTGGTTCAGTTTGACACACAAAAGTAACAACAATTTTCAAACATAACTTAACTAATAAATGTAAAACAAGAAATTTTCATTGTAGAATTTAAGTATGTATTGTTATACAGAACAAAAGTAAAATATGCAATCAATAAAAGTAACTTAATAAATGTAATATAAGAGTTTATCTTTAAATTTTACATTTGGAATTACAGAATCAATTAATATCTTTAAATTTTACATTTGGAATTACAGAATTAATTACAAAATCTGCAATAGATGCATGCACTAAAATGTAAAAGCAGGAGTGAACTTAGGGAAAGTAATATAATCAAATTTCAATGTAGAATTAATTTTAAGGTAAAAGAAGATTTAATAAATTTTATGAATTTAATAATTCATTTCCTTTTAGACACTTAAATAACATTATAAGAATTTGTTCATTCCATTTATTATTGAGTCTGCTCCATCCAAAGGAATTTAAAATATTACTAACAGGAGTCTTGATATCAACTGATAATAATATTCTACCTAATCTATTTAATAAAACTTGAAGAGAGTCTGAAAATTCAACTTTACAATTAGACCATACACAACAACAATAATCAAATAAGCGGATAACTAGTGCATTTGCCAACATATTGAGAGTGTGTGATGGAAGGTAGTATTTCACACGATGGATTATTCAAATTCATTTTGAAATCTTTGAAGAGAGGCTGTCAATATGGTCTTTCCAGTTTAATTGGGGACAAAGTTTATACCTAAATACTTATAAGAATTAACTCTCTCAATAATGTCATCAGAGTTAGAAAATTTGTTTGCAAGAGAATTACCTATTGAAGTGAAATGCATGTTTAATTGATCTGCTGTATCTTTATCAGAAGTTGTACAACTTTTGTTTTTATAAACTCTATTTACACTTGGCTGATGTTTAGGAATTAGTTTATTTATGGTGTTCCATAATTTTTAGGTTTTTTTAATTTTCTTTAATGGTATTAGTACAGTATTTTCGTTTTTGATTTCTGTTCAAATTATTTACTTTATTTCTTAACTCTTTAGCTTTGTCCCAGTCACTAGGGTCATTAGTTTTATGGGCTTTCTTGTAATAATAGTCCATCTTTTGTTAATCTTATATAATCTGTTGTTATCCATTCAGGCAAAGAGCCTTTAACTATCTTTGTTTTAAGTGGGGCATGATGATTGCATAAAGTACTGAATAAACATTTCCAAAGGGACCAGGCAGAGTTCACATCAGTGTAAAGTTTAATCAGATCCCACTCAATGTTTTTAAGATCATTAATAAATCTGTGTTCATCAAATTGTTTAAAGGAACGGGATTTTATAAAATTTTGGGGAATTTTAACTTTTTTCGTTTTCCGAATTAAATAGGTAACGAGTGATCACTAATTCCTAGACTTGTCACTCCTGTTGTCGGAATGATGTTTATGTCGAAAGAGTCTTGATGAAGACAGAATTCTCCTTAAGCTGCGAATGCTTTTGTTACAATTAACCCTGAGTAAAAAGTATTATTAATATTTTAAGACATGACAATTCCTTTAGGAGAAATCGAACATATCGTCAAAACGCAAAATCGCACAGCATATATGATGCCAACCATGAGTGTGCACAAACAAAATTTGCAGCTTATAGCTTCTTCGATTATCTGACAAACAACCATCGTGTTAGAAACAAATACACAGGCTGGACTATCTGTTGATAAAGCACTCATAATATAATGTCATTAATTATGTTACCTAATGAGTTTATGATTATTATTATATTATTATATAATACGAACCACAATCTTGTGTCTGTAACAACACAGCCATGTAATAATGCACAAACACAAACTGTAAATTTTGCTGCTTGGTACGCTAGGTCTATGAAACCTAAAACTGCGTCTGTGTGTGATTTCATTCTTACTAGGAAGTCAGATATTTTTGCTATAACCGAATCATGGCTAACTAATGATGATTCATTTAATTTATTTCGCCTTTTATTTTTTTATCATAACAATACAGTAAAATATTCAGAAAATTCGAAAAGGTAATCCATGTTTCCCCCAAGAGCCGGCAGGATTACCAAAAAGAAAATTAATTACTGTCTGAGTGGCTCTCCAAGATGATCACTCTCATCGTGCCATTGCAGACATTGTTCCTGACTTTGAACACTTTCATCGTTCCAGAAGCCACACCACTGGTGGAGGTGTATGCATGATCTTGCGCAAAGGCTTCTTTGTCAAAGTCAATAATGGACCTCCGTTTAAATCATTCGAACATATGGACCTTCTTCTTGTAGACTTTTCATTGTTTATCGGCCGCCATACTCAAAAAAGAACAAAACAACAACTAAGATGTTCTTCTAGACTTCTCTAATACAGATGATGGCGGTGCCAACATTATAAAGAACCTTCTATCCATTGCCGGATTCACACAGCATGTCACCGGCCCCACCCATAGGAGTGGTCACACACTTGACCTGTTAATCTCTAGAGATACTGATGAACTTATATCCGACATTTTAAATTCACTGTGATCAACCTTCTGACCATTTCCCAATTGTATGTCATTTAAATATATCATGTCCAGACTCAGTCAGACATAAGATCACCTTTCACAAAAGTCGCCAAATTGACATCGGGTGTTTCAAGAGTGATATTATGAAATCAGAGCTAATAGCGACTCCTGCTTCAGGTATTGACACCTTCGTAGCTTAATACAACAACGTTCTTTCTCAGCTCTTGGATCGACATGCCCCAATAGTTACCAGGTTGATAACATTAAGACCTAACGCACCTTGGTATAATGAGGATTTACGTAACCAAAAGCGGATTAAACGCCGTTGTGAAAGAAAGTGGGTTTCGTCTGGCTTAGAGGTGCATAAACAAATATATCATGTTGAATGCAACAGATATAAACAAATGCTCGAAAAGTTTAAAACCGATTTTCACAGATGTCAAGTGGCAAAATGTGAACAGGGAAAATTGTTTAAATTAATAAAATAATCTTACTTCTAAAAATCATAAGAAGATCTTACCTTTACATGAGTCTTCCGAAGATCTTGCTTGCCGATTCTCTGAATTCTTTCGCAACAAGACTCTCAAGGTTAAGATTGAACTTGACAACGACTCAGATAGTGCTAATTATATGCAGGAGGAACGTGCTGACGTACTCCCATTCAGAACATTCTCCAACGTGTCGCAAGATAATCTACGAAAGATAATTATGACCTCAAAATCGACTTCTTGTCCTTTGGACCCCATACCCTCTTGGCTTCTGAAAGAAATACATCGATGAACTCCTTCCAACCATCTGTGACATCATCAATAAATCACTCTCATCTGGTATAGTTCCGAACACCTTCAAAGAAGCACGTTTAATGCCACTTATAAAGAAATCCTCTCTAGACCCGGAGAGCTTAAAGAACTATCGTCTGATTTCCAACTTATCCTTTATCTCAAAGGTTCTCGAGAGATGTGTTGCTGATCAACTGACAGACCATCTCGTGTCAAATAACCTGCACAGTAAGAGACAATCAGCCTACCGTAAACATCATTTAACTGAGACCGCTCTGATAGGTGTCACAAATGATCTACTTTGTGCGGTAGATGTGCACAGCGAAGCAGTACTTGTGCTGCTTGATATAACCGCAGCATTTGACACTATAAACCATAAGATACTATTGCTAAGGCTTGCAAATTGACATGGAGTTGACGGTACCGTTCTCAAATGGTTTCAATCTTTTATGTTAAACCGCACTCAATCTGTCACCATTAACAACTCTGAATCAAATTCATATCCCGTAAGTGATGGTGTACCACAGGGGTCAGTATTGGGCCCTCTTGTGTTTTAATTTGTATACATCACCACTTGAAGATATTATTGATGCCCATGATGGAATTGAGTCCTGTATACAAGATGTCAAGAAATGGATGGTCATTAATAAACTGAAACTGAACGTTAATAAAACTGTAATTCTTCACATAAGGTACAGGTTCTTACATCGCACTATGAAAATCGATCACATTCAAGTCGGATCAGATCTTGTTCATACAGTTTCATCAGCACGCAATCTCGGTATTACAATAGACAACTAGCTCAGAATGTCATCCCATATTAACAGTATCTGTAAGGCTGCTAACTTTGCACTCAGAAAAATAGGTCAAGTGCGCAAGTACCTCGACAGAGCATCCGCCGAAAAGCTCATTCACGCATTTGTCAGCACTCGCCTCAACGCCTGCAGCAACCGTTTATACGGTTTACCTGACTACGAGATTGCCAAACTGCAGCAAGTTCAAAATACCGTAGCAAGGATCGTCACTCTGTTATCAGCATAACACCGGTGTGTTATGTTGATAACTACCTACTGTCAGTACCTAAAATATCCACTGCGTATGGAAGATCTTTTGCTGCGGCAGGACTCGCAGTCTGGAATAACTTACCGATCAATATTAAATGTTCTCCATCAGTCAGTATATTCAAGTCACAACTGAAGGCAAAGTTTGATTAAATATTACTTGCTTATAAAATTTTTTACATCTCCAAATTTTTTTATATGTTGTAGCCAACACCTGGGGCCACAAATTTACATAAGTTATAATTTCACGACTGCGTGATCCACAAGGTCAAATTCTAGGTCAAAAAGAATGTCAAATATTCCCAACACGATGGCGTGTATTTCAGTACTTGGAGTATGTATAAAAAGAAAGAAAGAGGAAGCAAGTCTAGTCAGAAGGGAATGGAGAGTTAGATATTTTGGACATACTGTAGGTGTAGATAAAATTAAAGAGTCAGGTCAGGATAGAATCTTGGAT